TAATCTAAAAGGAAAGATATGAAGATGTTTCGTGAGTGAAATTTGTGTGTGTTTGTGTGTATGTGTGTGTGTGTGTGTGTGTGTGTGTGTGTGTGAGTGTGTGTGTGTGTGTGTGTGTGTGTAAGTGTGTGCGTGCGTGTGAGTGTGTGTGTGTGTGTGTGTGTGAGAGTGTGTGTGTGTATGTAAGCGTGTGTGCGAGTTCTGAATAATATAATATAATAATATTGAAAATAATTACATTTATTTAGTGACTTTTATTACATTTTCACTAGTGTCATAGTCCAATGTTAAAAGCCATTTCATCAATGTAAATTTGCAATCATGCCTGCACAGATTATAAACGTAGATTTTAGAATTGATGTAGTTGTACAAGTGACCTCCCAGGAAACAGAAAAATTTCTGTGTAAAGCTATACTTAGCATGAAATTTGGGATAAATGGCAAAGCGACGTCTGTCCTTGACCAATAGAGGATTGTAATTAACAAGGGAGTGTGCTTCAAGAAGACAGTGCAATAAGAAAATTTGGCGTACAGATAATACCTGACATTTTAGGAACAGATCTTTAGTAGGATAGAGGCGTGGAAGATTCCATCCAACCTTTAGGATAGCTCTCTGGGCTCGCTCAAGCTGCAACATATGAGACTTAGCAGCTCCACCCTAGGTAGAAACACAATAGGACAGTAAAGTTTGACCGAGTGCCAAGTACACAATACGAAGGGTGCTAGTATTTGCTATTTGACGTAATTTTTTAAACACAAAAATCAGCTTACGTAATCTGTAACTTATTGCATCAATGTGGTTCTTAAAGGACATTGTACAATCAAGGAGGACACCTAGATATTTGATAAGGGTGGACCTTTCTATTTTAGGACATGAACAACCGGGCATTTCAGGTCTCAAGCATGACTGCGCAAAAATAGAGTAGGCGTCATGGCAAGGTTGAGTGGCTTTAGTCATAGTCAGTGCAATATATTTAGTTTTGTCACCATAGAGTTGGAGTGGAATTTCCTGCCTTTACTGTGAAAAGTGAAGAAACGAATTAATTGCAATCATCTGACGTTCTTATTTCATTGCCGATTTTAGGAATTGATAACGAAGAGTGAATAGGTCAATTATCAATCCACGAACGTTTCTTTTTAATGCTTGACTAAGTCAGTAATGAGGGTTCTCTCAACGTTTCCCTTACTGTTATACTCTGACAGGTGTATTTGTGAATGTTTAGTAGAAAAACTTTTCGCTAGCGGTGAAGAAGGTTTATATTATAACCTTTGGAAAAAGTGTCAACACAAGGATTGGGGATCCGCATTGTGTCAGCGCATTGGGACAAATATTATTTTTTTAATAAATTTCTTAAGGCAAGTTGATTTGCACGATGTTATATAGATTCTCTGCCTATGAATTAGACGCCTGCCAATTAGACGCTTAAGGCGATTATCACACTGCACCGCGCCCCACGACGGAGCGCGGGATGCGGAATCACGCGCGCGGTGGCCGAGACACAGATCTGCGTCAACGCGCAGTTTAATCTGCGCGGAGGCAGCGGTCTAGTGGCCCCGCGTCACTTAAAGTACTCGCTTCGCAGTTGTTCGCCGTAGTGATTGTATATATAGCCGAGATCTTTCTTTGACAAGAATGGTTAATAATACAGAATTCATTCAGGTCGCTGCAGTTGTACTGGCTATTTGGTTTTTCTTTACTCAAATAAAAAGACACCGAAAATATTGGATACATCCTTTTTTACGATCCAGATCGATAAATTGATAATTTCAACTTCATTACAAAGATTTATGAAAATATGAAGAAAAATTTGGTCGATTTTCAATAGGAAATATAAATTTATCGACGTCGAGATCTATTGTAGAAAACTGAACATGTCCTTAAGCTTAAAAATCTGCGCGGTAGTGCGGAGTGTGCCTTACCCTGCGGTTCGCCGCGTCCCTCCGCACGGGGCCCGGTAAAACGAAGCGTTGTCACAATGTTCGACGGCGCGTGTTTTCCATACAAACTGAGGTACTTCAGTACAACGTCAAAAGCGCAGCTCCGCGCTCCGTCGCGGGGTGCGGTGCAGTGTGATAACCGCCTAATAGAAGCGCCGCAGTTACTTCTTAGAGTTCTTAGGCTTAATTTACGTCAAAATGTTGCTTGCGTTGCTGTGTTCCGGTTTTGAAGGTTAAAGTGAAATGAAGAAGAAAAATGAAGAAGGTGCTGGTGAAATTACAGGAACATGGGACTTGTCAACTTATGTCTCAGGGTGACGGGCATAGCGGTAGTGCCCCTCAGATCTTTGCAATTTAAAGTTCTGGCTGACACTGCAACAGGCGTGTAGCTTACCATCGTGCGCTCGACTTGTTCGTCCCGTCACGTGATGTAAAAAAAAGAGCGCGCGGTCGCCGGAATGCTCGAACATTCACGAGAATGCTCGAGCATTCGCAAGTTTTCTTGCGACTGCGTCTTGAGGCTGTAATATAGCGTCGATGTTTGACGTCACACTGCGCCTGCCTTCGCACCACTTTCCCCGGATTCGCCAGGCGTCGCCGACGGCAGCTGCAGAATCTTCGCGATTTTTGGCTCGTATCTAATTTATACGTTACACAATTGACCATAAAGTTCATTACGCTATGTACATCGTTACAAAAATTCGCTTCCATTCCGTTTTGCCGCAATATATATTGAGTCTGCGTCGCAGTCGCAGCGCTGCGACTGCGCTTCCATACATTCAGATATTCTATGAAAATCAATAGCGGTGCGGCAGCCAAGTCACACACGCGCCACTGCATCGCTTCTATAAGCCTCTAATTTGATGATACCCTAAGTCTGACCTGTTTTTTTGTATTTCGATTTTAATTATATTTATATCCATTGTTATTTCTATTTACTGTATATTTCAGTTATGTAAACGCTGTTCGCCCAAATGCCGTCGTAGAGAATGAATTTTCATAAACTGTCACGTCGTTTCTTTTACATTTCCTAACGCTTTTTTTCATCAAATAATTCAGAAAGATATTTCAAAGTCACCGAATATTGTCACGTGTCAGAGAATAATAATTTATTGTCGTGTAAATGGGCGTGTAACTTATTTCTTTTCGTTCACCAACAGATAAAAAAGGATAGGTTACAATATACATATGGCGGATAAAAATGAAAATCTTATAGGTTTTGCGAATATTCCCATTTATTTTCGTTTTCCAATAGTTTATTGAAAACATTCTGACAGTTAGAAAGACTTTGTAAACTATTTACATTAACGAACAAACTTAAGCAAAAGTTTTAAGTTGCGACAAATTTCTTGATTGCATTTGAATACAATGTGGAATAGTGACGTCACTACTAGGTTTCTATAAGCATGTTCTCTTAACCCGCTTAAATGCGAGAAGCAGCAGTGACCCTGACTGGGCAATCTTGTTACGTAAGTTCATTTTAGGCATTGAAAAAGGATTGGGTCATACAGTTCAGTATGTATCTTTTGTCTTTCAGCAAGACCACACACGTGAACATTTTGCAATACCGTGTTTACACAGAGTCGACTGCCATCTTCGGCAGACTATTTCGCCTTGTCGAAGAAGGTGCAGTAGACTCTTGCGGCAAACGAATTCGACTGACGAAGCCGGGGCAGTCGACGCGCTGTTTACACTGAGTCAACTGCCGCCTTCCACTCAATAAATCGTTCGAAACGTCCAACCGATTGATCGGGTAGGTAGCTATATCCCGGCCTCCAATACGGGAGTTTTGAAACTTGTTTGGTTGGCCATCGCTTGCCGAAAGCGGCCAAATCGCCTGACTGAGTTTACACCTAGTCAACTCGGTCGACAAATGACTCAGTGTTTACACTGTAGCCGGGTAGATGGCCACACGTCGATCCGTGTAAACATGCTAATCAGGATTTAGGGATTTAGTCACGCAAATTCTATTACACGAAAGGAATTTAGAGAATACAAAATATTGGTGAATTTAGTGCAAATACACTAAATCGTTTCTGCTGTTACATTTATAAAAACAAGTATAATTATTATTCTGAATATTATTCTACGTACATCTAGCATATTACGCGTAGTATAAATATACTAAATAATGTAATCAAAAATTTTGCCGCAACCCGAACAATCAATAAAATTATTACCTAGCAACAAAATCGGACATCAAATATCCGGATTCAAATAAAATCGCAATTCACTTCTACGTTTTAATAGAGTATTCTTTTAGAGTTCGATGATTTAAATTTTATGTATATATACTCCATAGTTTTTAATAGTGTTGTCCTTTTTACATCGATGTTTGATATCGGCGAAATACCGGTAATGGCGTAAAAATTGTAGCAATTTGCCAACTATTCACGGATGTGCTCTATATTTCGCCAAAATTATGTAACTGAACATGGACTAAGTTACTATTATGATGTATTACATCTTCACAGTACAAGTTTATCCCGGCTTACAAATATGCAGGGATTTTTATTCTTCATCGAAATGTTTAGCAATAGATTTTGTGAAATGGCATTTTCAATTGCGACTCAAAATGTATTATTTTAAGACACAAATATGAAAGTGTTACAAAACATATTTACAGTACAACTGTTATTTACATAATCACTCTTTGACAAAATTAACTAAATATCATTTTGTAGTAGTAACGGAAACTAATTTGTCTTTGTTTGAAACGAAACCGCGGTTTATTTCACAAAAACTTTATAATTTTAATAAAATTGTATATTCATATCTATTTTAAACAAGTTTTGTTAACGAAATTGTGTTGGGTAAAAGTATGTATTTTACTCTAAAATTTAATTAACATTTTACTAAAAACAAATGGCGATTAATAAAATTGCATCTTTTGACATTTCACAACCATTTATGACTGAAAGTAGTTTTATAATATTCTCGCTACAATTTTAAAAAAAGAACAATTTAAATATTCTGTTATATATATTTTGATATTTCAATCTTTTTTACCATTACGTATTTTTAATTTAATGTTGATTTTCAAAGTTTAATTATTCTAATTCTTGGATTATTATAGCTTTATTTACAATGAATATACAAACAAACTTTAACACAATTTTCATTCATTTTTATCCTACCTACCTTATGCGAAATTCGACTATTATTAGGTCAGTGTTCTAACAAAAAATTTGAAAAAAAAACAATAAACTTTTAAAGATTTCAAAAAAATTTTCGAGCTTCAAAAACTAAAACCCATCACTGCAATCCCACACATTGAAACTTTATCAATCACAATCTTTTAAAAAAATGCTTGAGCACTTCACATCACTAGTCATTCGTCACTGTTTTTTTATTTACACAAGTCCTAAAGTTGCGTTGTCTGTCAGAGTGGTGTATCACGAGGAGGTGCGCGGGGCGCGGGGGCCGGCGCAGGGGCAGGTATGGGGCGCGGGAGAGTGCGCAAATGCTGGAGGGGGATTCCGCAGCGGGAGTCGCTTGGTGGCGCAGAGATGGTAGAACCGCGTGGCAAAGTGCACGAGCCTGCTGCGAATCTGGCAGGTGGAGGGATTCCTGATGTTGCATTCTGTGAAGAAAGGATAGTGATAGAGAAATCCAATATAGACAGTTTCATTTTTATTTGCCATAAAAGCAATTTAAGTCTTTTGTTATAGGTACTTGATTTCCGATATAACTCTGCTCGTCACAGATTTCTAACTCTTATTTCTATTATCTCTGTCTTATAGTCTACTTTCTTTATTTCCTTATTCTGTCATCGAAGAAATGGTATCTCCACAAGGTGTCCTTGCTCTAAGCTATCTTAACGATGATCAAGTCTTTCATATGTTGTGTGAGTCTGTACAAGTTAAAGTATGAAAAGTAATACTTACAGGAGCTTCATGCATCTGATGCGAAGGAGGTGGGGCTGTCCTCAAAGCACAGTACCCTGGAAGCCCCCCTCGGACTCCTGCAACACTGCCTCGAGGCCCTCTGGTGCCTAGAGGTGGTGATATCGTCGATACCTGCTGCTGCCGGTAATAATCCATCTGCGGAACAAACTCCAGCTTGTCACTTCTCCTTCGGACATTGTACGATTAAACGGGTGTCAAAGATATTTTAGATCCGTTTCAAAATGTTACTTATTTGTTTTCGTACTGTTTGTACATCTACAACTTTATAGCTGAAGGTTATACGCTAGGACAGAAGTTATGGTGACGATTTTTTTGTACAAAGGCCCTTGGATGTTATCTTCGTATAATCTCATTCGTATTCTTCCAGTGATGTCTTTGATCAGACTTGGGCCTTCAGAAATATCCAACAGCTACAAAACTAAAAAGGATAAAAATTACTCACAATACAAACCTGCATCTGATCAGTATCCGAAGGTATGATATCGGGATTTCTGTCATCACTTTCACTGTCATCTTTTTCCCTTAATTTATCAGGAGAGGCAGGTTGGGAAGATGGCGGGGGAGCAGACCGAGGTTTTCTTTTGGCGCAACGTTGACGTACAGCTATCATGAAGAGGACCAAAACCACCATAAGGACTCCGCCCCCTCCAACGGCTGCTGACATTGCCCCTGACATTTGAAAGGCTGTTCGAGGTAGATCTGGTGAAGTGTTTTCTAAATTAATATCTTTTTGAATAACAACAAAAATAGGTTTAAAAATATTTAATACATTGATGTCAGCGTCATATTTTATAACATTATGCTTACAAGTTCAAAACTAAACTTAGTGTTCACACAATTTATCAGGCTTAGAATGATTGGGTAATGGAACAGCTACCAGCCATCGGAATGACTCAGTTGAAATACCTTTGTCTATATGAAGAACAGAACAAATATTAAAAAACAAACTATAAACCACGAATAAGCTATACATCACGTAAAGCACACAGATTCAAAAAAGATTAAAAAGACATTATGCTTTAAAAAGTTTTAAAGTTCGCACTCCAGTAATGTTGGTTTTGGAAACTATGTTTTCCAGGGCATGAAATATTTTTACAGCCACTTTAACAAAAACTCTTATGGCTTAAGTGGTATTCGCGAGCGAAATTGTACGACTACATCTTTCGAATAAAATTGTGGTTAAAATGAATTCATATTTGTTGCTGCTGCTATTTGTTTTTATAATTGACAAAGGTAAAAGCATGTTGCATATTATTAAGTAATAATAAAATATATGATAGAGGGAAGAACACTGTAATCCATGAATGATGTGGTTTGAAAGAGGACATAGTGATAACAATAGATAAAAGTACTAGTAAAAGAGATGGTTTGAGCAAATTGAGCAGATGAATTAATGTAGGTTAACGAAGCAATAACATACAGCTAACATAGAAGGCAACATTGAAAAAGGATGGCCACGAAAATCATTTTCAGATCATATCGATAGTATTTTTGAAAATGCTGGAGTGCGAAGTGAGAAGAATAGAGAGATATGAAAAGATTGATGAATGTAAGTGAAGCAAGAAACATTGATGAATGTAAGTGAAACCTGCACGTAGAAGAAGGTTCACAACCCACGGAAAACGTGTGGAGTCCTGAACCTGCATTGAGCCACTGTGGTGGACTATGGCTTAAAGCCTCGTATGCCTCCTCTCATCTTATTTCATCTCTCACGTGTCTCCACCCGTGCCCGTATTAATGGGACGTGGATCGTATAACTGGGTAGACGGTGGTGAAATTTGCTACTCAGCAAAGTGAAGGTAGGTTTAACCGCTCACGCGATACATCATCCGTAGACGCATACCACACCTAGAGGTGCCGATGATGATTTTATACCGATTTATCGGATATCGAAGTTATAACAGGTAAAAGAACTAATACTAATTGCTATTTCGGTAACTACTCTAGCAAACCATAAAGTTTTTAATGCCTGGGTCTGTCATTTAAAAAAAATAAACAACTTCAAAAATACGTCACGACAATCGTGTGTGTTATTGTTTGGGCTGGTGATTTCGGTGTTCATTTATTGAAAACATACCGTAAGTAGCGTTTTTTAAGTTTACCCTGAATATAAATGTTTATAAACTATACTTTAAGGAGTAATTTCATGGTAAACGTTAGAACCACTCAAACGGAATATTATCATATTTATCCAAGTACACCAAAAATTTCATTAGTGCTTTTTAAGTGCAGGATTTGCGGTGTATTACTGTATTTTATTTGAGATGTTTTTGATGGTAGTACGGAGGGTATTTATTTAGCAATGCAGAATAATAATTTTTGTTTATAAAAACTTGTATTTAAACTGAATGCTTTTCTAATTTGCGAAACCAAACAGCCGCCATTTTGCGATAGGAGGAGCGCATCGCGTGAGCGGATAAAAGTAATAAAATAAATAACACAAGCGCAACTATAGTCACAGATACCGCCATCAAAAGTGTTTCGCCTCTCTATGACGGATCTTCAGGGGTGTTGATTGTTTGACGCTCGGTCGAAAAATGAGCTTAACAGCTCAACACAAGTGCAGCTTGTTCTCACGATATAAATTCCACGGCGAACACCGCCGAAGCAAATTAATTTACTTCCACTTTTACTGAACTAAATCAAAAATAGAGAGTATTTACACCATCAAAGTACTTATACTCACCCAAACTTTTATCATGAACATGATGTTTCTCCGGAGGTCGCAAAGTGCTGGCTCTCAGAGGATAAGGGTCTCCCCGTCCCTTGGCATTATATGCGAGGACAGCAGCTGCATATGTGGTGCCAGGTATTAGACCGACGGCTGTGAAACGAGGTACTGGACTGGAGACGTTGGCTACTATCTCCTGATAAATAGAAAAATGTATGTAAGATTACTGGGATTTATAGTAAAATAAACACGAAAACACATAATCAATATTTACAATCAATATTATCTATAAATATAAGGAATACGCAAAAATAAATAAGAGAAGACGGCCGGGACATATTTTCTGTATCTCTCCAATATAACAGAAGTTGATTTTGATCAAATGGACACGCATTCACTGAAATCATGGACTTTGTATTAATTAAATAATTATACTTTTAAATAATACAGTTAAAATCCAATAAACCTGATTTAGTCCCTAATTTGCTACCCTTAGAGGTGGAATATTTTCTTCAAATTTAAATGGCACCAATGTTGAGGTACCTTCTTTAGAAACATCAAAATCGGTTCACGCCGGAGTAATCGCGAACATACACACAAAAAATTCTGTCAATTTGAGAACCTCTTTTTGAGAAGTCGGTTCAAAATTGACTTGAATATAGAAGATCTCTAAGTTCTATAGAAAATTGAAGAAGCTTAGGTACGCCCGACTGGCATATTTAAGCATAATACAAAGTTGCAATAATGCAAGTTGCTGGGTGTTCGATCTTTGTATTAACAATTATAACAAACTAGTGGAGTAATTTCACAAAAAATAATTGAATATCAATTCAATAAAAATTTAATTAACAAAGTTGCAATATTTATTTTTATTGAATATAATGATATCTTTTCTAATCCACTTCACTAGTTTATTATTATTATTGATACAAATATCGAATGGAACGGATACACGAAAGGAGTCACTGCCCACGACATACCATTCCTTTCCTGTACGTCTGGTGACACCTGGGCAATAATCGGCAAGTGCATACCATATATCGATTGACAAATCCTTTCATCACGATAGCAAGCAATATAGTGTATACCATCAATACCATTAAAAAAAGATACAAAGATCGAACAAATGTAAAGACGGATTCCCGAACCAACGTCTGTTGCCTCAACGTGGCTATCAATAATAATAATAAACGGGAATCCTAATAGTAAGTGGTAGCGCCAGAAGCGCGAATAGCTCATATACTAAAGTCACTACAAACCATACAGTTATACAATAAATGTACTTGCGCAGAACAATGGAGGGGTATAGGCGGGGAAGCGGGCGCCGCGGGCCCCAAGGGCTGACGCGTGCGGATTTTAAAATAATATTAAATACGTTCCGCACATTCCACGGAAACTATTACATGTAATGTAATGGTGCACACAAAACTATTGTGTACAGATGTAATTCAACATCGAAATATAGTTCCGTAATAATATTTCAGATTAATAATTAGACTTATTAGGTAAAGTACAAACTTATTTCCTTGATTAATTTGTGATTAAATTGTACATCCGGATGCCAATACATTGTATTATTGTTAAATTTAACAACAGAAAACTGAAAACATCTAAGAGGTAAATCATGATTACTTAACTCTTATTTTTAATAAATGTTTACGTTACAATAATAATCACAATTTTTTTTCAACGTTTGACAACCCTTGCGAAAGAAAGCTTTACGGACGGCGGTATCGCCGAACATCACAATGCACTATACTGCAGGTATAAAAAAATACATTGTAATGCTTTGATATAGTATTATATCGTGTTTGTACAGTTGGTGACCTAACTTAGGTATCCACTATTTGTATAGGAGTTAGAACATATAGCGGATACCTAAGTGAGGGCACCGACCCTACAAATTGGTCCTTGAAACAATTGAAACGTTCTATATTTTGACGTTTTTATTTATTTTGACGACCTCGATGGCCAAAGGTTTGCATTGTGGAAGCTGTACGACGAAGTAGCAGTAGAGCTCCTTGTGGAAGAGTTCGCCCAGGGAAATACTGCCGCCTTATCTATTTCTGCCGCCAAGCAGTAATATGAGCATTACTGCGTTCCAGTTTTAAAGGTGCTGGTGAAATTACAGGCACATGGGACTTTTGAACTTATGTCTCAGCGTGTTGGGCACAGTGGCAGTGCCTTCAGATCTTTGCGATTTAAAGCTCTGAGTGGTACTGCAACTGTTATGGACAGGCGTGTCGCTTACCAACAGGCGTACGACTAGTTCGTCTCATTACTTATTCTCATAAAAAAGAAAAAGACACCCAGCTCAGATAACGTATTTAACATGAAGTAAATGAAAACCAAAATTATCATAACCAATAATTTTCCTATATAAAAGTCTAGTAAAAGTTTCTTAATATTTGCATGCTAAAGTCCATATTCCAATACCTTATTTATACCCTAGTATGAATAAGATAATCAGAATATTCTTATTTTGCCGACGAAGAAAATACGGTAAAATCTCCTATATTCTTTGTTGGCGCATAATCAATATGTATGAAGGCAACAGCAAGCTTATTGCTACAGAGTTTCAAATAATGATTTATAAGGATTTCTTTAACATATCATCCCTTTTCGAATATTTTTTCATAATAAACGGACGTCGGATGAATGGAGAACGTCGTCGTGGTCGACGAATGCTTTCTTTGGACTCAAAAATGGTGGACAATAATGATTTAGTACCTTTATAATGCATTTACTAAACTACACGGTAAATTGTGCAACGATATCATAATTATAACTTTATTATTTAAAAAACCAACATCAAAAGTTTGTTTATTGGCTTTATAATTGGAATCATCATTCATCCTCTAGTTTGCCATCCTTAGAGGTGGAATATTTTCTTAAAATTTAAATGGCACCAATACTCAGGTACTCCTTCCAACAAAAATGAATCAGCAAAATCCCGGTTCAAAAAGTAATCGCGTAACGCACACTTAAAAAGATACAGTCGAATTTAGAACTTCCTCCTTTTTTAAAGTCGATTAAAAATAATATTTATAAATACGTTTACTAAACTATGCAACGACCCTAACGGTTATAAGAAGAACTAAAATTTATTATACTCATACGATACGAACGATAGCAAAATGACGTTAAAAAACATGAGTAAAGTCAATAATCAATTTAATTTAACTAATTAAAACAGTTTTAATCCAAAGCGGATCAAAATATTAAACATTAACATAGCGGATATCCTCATTTGCGATTCGATCTCGCAGAGAAACTCCATTGTTCTTTTGTATGACCTTTTTATGAGGCCTATAGTGAATGACCACGTCTCAGTAATAGTTGGCAATACACATACAATTTGGTTAATCTGTTAATAGCACCTTTATGGTGTCGATGTTAAGGATGCTATTCGCAATAATCAATAGTATTAGTTTTATGGACCCTATAGATACTGTATAGCATTGCTAGACTAATTGATAGCTTATAATGTTGCTTTATAATATTAGTGCCAAATAAATTGATGATAATTGCAATACTGAAGTTGTATTTACTACACTATGTACAAATACGAAGAAAATGGAGATAGGTGGGTCATATGAGTCGCAAAACCGATGACCGGTGGAGCAGCAGGAGACCAATAACCAGTGACAGAAGTATCAGCCGCAAGAGGACTATATAAATAAATAAATATAAATATTAGACAATATCACATACGTGCTCTGATCCCAAAATAAGTAGCACTTATGTTGTGGAAATTTAGTTTAGCAGCAGTAGAGCTCTTTGTAAAAGAGTTCGTCCAGGGAAGTACTGCCACCTTACATAGTTCTGCCGCCTAATAGTAATGTGAGCATTACTGCGTTCCGGTTGTGAAGGGTAAGGGTGCTGATGAAATTTCAGGCACATGGGACTTGTCAACTTATGTCTCAGGGTGACGGGCGCTGTCGTAGCAGTGTTCCTCAGATCTTTGCGACTTAAAGCTCTGAGTATCACTGCAACTATCATGGACATGCGCGTAGCTTACAATCAGGTGCACGACTTGTTCGTCGCGTCACTTGATATTATACAAAAAAAACACGGACACAACGACGATACAACGAACACCCACACAGAAAAGTTACTTTTTCTACATTGACCCGGCCGGAAATTGAACCAGAAATTTAACGAAATAGATGGACGAACGATATAAGAGAAGTAACCGGAATAACCTGAATGCAGATAGTCCAAATCAGAAAGGATGGCGTACAAATGAGGAGGCTTACACTCATCTAGTATATAACCAGAAATAGGGACAAAATAAGGGCCATCCGTCCGTGGCAACTCATCAGGTAAATGGCCATTATATCACTTTTAAATATCAACTCTCCTTTGCGCTGAAACCGTAAATTAGAAAATTAAAATCAAAAAACTATTAGCTGTATTATTTATACTACATATTATTACAATATACTATTGTATAGTACAGTTTGAAGTGAAACAATTGACGACACACGTCAATTCTTTCGAATTCGGGCTGGCCAATCGGAGCGCAGTTGTCACCGTAATGATATGGCAGAATAGTTTAAATTTCATTTCGCCTCTATTTCTAGTTATATACTCGACGCCTACACTCAACAGTGGTTGACTAAAGTCTGAAGAAGAAGGCACACTGGTACTATTTTTGACTGTGTTGTGGAGATTACATAAGCATCTGTTGTAGCCGGAAGTAAATTAAATTCATTTTCTACTTTATAAGATTGACGGCAAACCGTTCGTTACGGACTCTCAGCACGTCTTTTGTTCTTAAGAACTTGGGCGACTCAGGTATTATACAATTGAGCTTCAGACGTAGAAAATGGTTCGGGACAAATAGATTTAACTATTCAGAAACACCCAATAATGTTTTTAGACGTAAGCTCGTCCTTCACAACACTAATAAAAGAAGCTTACAATTTTGATGAAAACTAATTATTCATATTGTAACACAGGGAGGGCATAAATTGTAATAATAAACCGTTTATTTCAAATACCCTATCATCCATAATATTTGTTAGTAAGAAAAATACTGAAGCTAGTGTTAGTTATAAAATAATTATAGAACAAAATTATTCATAATATTGATTTTTAATAAATATCATAATGTTTTGCTAATAATTTATAATATTAATTTATTTTTTGTTAAATTACTCCACTAGTTTGTTAATTTAATATTAATAATTA